GACCACCCCCCCCCCCGTAGGAGCTCCGAAAGGAGCGCCCTGCTCTAGTATTTAAAATCTGATCCTGCATGAAAATATACAGGGGCTTGGAGGTAAAGTTTCATGTATCCTGACAAATGCACTAATACAGATGAGAGGACACCTTTAAACTGCCTGTCAGTCTGCATGTGGTGGTGAAGAGAAAAAAGCCAATCATCGGACCCACAATCAATTAAATATATCACAGGCGAGCAATTTCATGTGTGTGAAAATGGACATATATTGATGTGACTGTAGGCCAGAGGGTCTTGCAAGAAAAACTCAGTACTTCAAAAATAGTTATACATGCTGATTCACCATCATTTATAGTTTATCAAACTGCATAAAAACTGCACTATTAAGTGATCACAATATACTCCACAACTCATACGTATGGTATTCTTTAAGCATCTGTAGTCCAAATTCACTTTCAGAGTGAAACTGAACACTGCATCAGGGTGGATGAAACAGTGTCCAGAACAGCATTCAAAATGTGATACATCTGTATAAAGGGGCAGTGAACATGACTGGTGGTATTCAAAAAAGAAAATGAAGATGGCTGTCTTCTGGATTGTTGTACTACATAGTCTGATAAAAGTTTACTGATTAGGATTTGAGGTTTTCATGGTGGTGAGTCTGAAGATGGCTGTCTTCTGGATTGGTGCACTGTGTAGTCTGGTAGAAGTTTATCATTGTTTCAGAGGTCCTTGCTGCCTCGATTAATAGGGTGATGCAAATATGCAGAAGATAGCCATCTTCCAGTTTACTGATGTTTTATAGGAGCTTGTTGCCTCCATCATTGCTCTGATGATGGAGGCAGCAAGCACCCCTAAAACATTGGTAAACTTTACTAGACTACAATGTGCAACAACCCATAGGATAGCCACCTTCATACTCACCACCACAAGAACCTGAAATCTCAAAGAAGAAAGCATTTACAAAGAAATATGCTAAATGTTAAGAAAGCAAGTCACTATACATGCATAATAGTGACATAGTGAAACTTGAGGCACCTTTAAAAAGTAGCCAAATCTGTAGTAAATAGAACAAGTCAGTACCTTTGTGGACCACAGTCTCTACTGTCTGTCAGGAGTCGGATTGTTTGCTGGTGACGCTGACATTCCTCAACCAGTGAGGCTTCACGCATCCGCAGGATTCCCAGCTGCCGTTCTTTGTCGTCCAGCACACGCCGCATTGTCTCATTGAACCACACCTAGTGATGAGCACAGCCACAATACAAATTATAGGACAGCTGTTACTTCAACGATTACACTTTCTGAATGCAGTCTCTATATGCTTATTGTTTTTAAATGTACAAATCTTAACCTTGTCTCTGCCAGTAAACTAAATGAAGTTGCCTTACAAGTTTACAAGTTTGCTAGGCCTATCATGATCATACATTCTTGATGTTTAGAGGCTGGTATTATATAGCATGTACATTAAATATTTCACGTTCTGCTTTTATTGATTTAAGGGTATCAAGGGCTGCCAAACTGACCTGTCTTTCTGCCTCAGAGCGTACACGAGCTTGCTTGAGCTCCTGCTCAAGCCTGGCCTCCCAGCGTGCTCGCTCCTGCTCCACCGCTTTTCTCACCGATGCCTCCCGTTCTGTTGCAAGATCCTCACGTATCTGAGCTACAATAGCTTCATGATTAACCAGCTCAATCAGTTCGCACCTCTGTCAACAACCAAAAGTGCAATGACATGACACATATTTCAGTCCCATCACAACCAAAACACTGAGCAATTTCATTAAAGCATTAAGAAGCTAAGTTTTATGGACTATGCCATAATGCTTCAGATTTGGATAGATTCTTATAAGCAATAAGTATATTCGTAATGCATTTTCACAAATACCCAATGCCTTTGCACAACCAGTACATAGTTTATGATGTGAATTTGTGAAATATTAAAGAATATATGTCAAGCATAAGTGTATATGATACAGTGTTTTAAAATTTGAACACAATGTCCTTCATTTATTTCTGCTACAGCCTTATTATTGAAAGGATCTTACATCCTGCAACAGGAAGATGACATGCAGTAATGTCTCAACTATGTTACTAACTTGCCATTCAAATGCTATTTGGTAAGATTTAAGGTTCTCACGACAGCAAGTATGAAGGTCACTGGTTGTCTTCTAGGTTGTTGTACCATGTAGTCTCCACAAAGGAGACAGCAAACAACTCTGAAATTCAGTTAACTTCTTCTACCACGCTACACATTGCAACAACCCAGAAGACAGCCATATTCAAATACTACCTCCTCAAATCTAACACAAAACTGTAGAATATGAAAACTAACATCAACATATGTGAAGTCTGTTAATTTTTCACTTTTTTACACACACTTCCTAAATGTTCATCAAACTACGTGTTTTGGATGTGCCAATCTTCAGGTTCAATGTGTCTACATTTCTGAAACATGTGGTTTGATCAACACTTACGAAGAATGTATAAAAATTAACAAGTGAATAAACATCAAGTATCTGAAAAATATACACCAGGATGCTGCACTACAAAAGTGTACATATGTTCTTCCAAAGTCAACCACGCTAATATTATACTTTCAGCACAACTTTAACCAATTTATACAAACATCCTGCCTTTGCAACATCACTGTCAGTCTTACAGGGAAATGACTTCAACCACACTTCTGCTTTTGAAGACTTTTTTACCTTCTTCTGATGCATGCATATGAAAGCTGTCTAAATCAAGCACACTACAGACATAAGAACTCCTTCCTTCTGCCGCATTCACTTGATGCAATCCAGGATAAGAGTATGATCCAGTCATCCTATCCAAGATTTGAAACATTCATGGCAAATGAATATTATAAAATCCTCTCACGTGATCAGCGTTGAAAACCAATGTTCTGGAAACTGTTTCTGTCTCCGTCATCAGGCTGACAATGGTTTTTAACTCAGCATTGACACGGCTGTTTATTTGAGAGGGTTTTATTACATCCATTCACCCTGCCTGGATGATCACACCTTTTATCCAGACCGTTGGTAAATGGCTTTCCTTTTAGGACAATGCATACATTAGCAGTTTTCAGTTACGAGGTGCGATCGGAAAGTTTCAAGACTGTGTCAATAGAGGGCGAACCGGATGTAGTACGAGCTCCTGCCGCTAGGGGGTGCGGCCTACATTCATAGTGAATCAGTGTGCCAGCCGGCATCATCGAATTAGCATTTGTTTCTTAGTTACGGGTGTTTTGGTAGTGCATTACACCAACCCTCCTGCGATTTCGGAATGGCGGATTTTCATGAACAAATCAAATTTTGCCAAAGACTTGCCAAAACAGCTACGGAAACCTATGAAATGCTAAAGCAAGCATTTGGGGAGTCCGCAATGGGTCGTGCACAAACTTTTGTGTGGCATTCACGTTTTAAAAATGGCCGAACCTCTGGCGATGATGACGAGCGTTCTGGACGACCATCTTCGAGCACAACGCCCGAAACTGTTACGAAGATCGACGTCGTACCATCAACGACTTGTGCGACATTGTTGGGATAGGCTATGGGACCTGTCCGCTGATTCTAAAGGAAGAACTCCACATGCGACGCATCGCAGCCAAGTTTGTGCCAAGGCTCCTGTCTGAGGACCAGAAGCAGTTCGGCAGTTTTTGGCCTCAAACACCATGGCCTTCATCCCGCACCCTCCTTATTCGCTGTGTGACTTCTTCCTCTTCCCAAAGATGAAAATTCAGCTAAAGGGAAGGAGATTTGAGACGATAGAAGAGATTCAGGCAGAATCGCAGATGGTGCTTGACAGGCTGACAAAGAAAGATTTTCAGGGATGCTTCCAGGCTTGGCAGCGGCGCTGGGATCGTTGTGTTCACTCCCAGAGGAACTACTTCGAGGGTGATGGATGAATTTAATACCTGAGATAAGTGTACGGGTTTTTATAGGCGCAGTCTTGAAACTTTCCGATCGCACCTCGTATGTAGCACAAGTTTACATTGGCTGTTGTTTTCCATTGCCACCAATACTTAGTATAACACACAAACAGGGGCTTGATCAGCAACATTTTGGAAAAAAAGTGTAAGAATACCGCTTCCATTACTTGATAACACACTTTTTAAAACAATACTTATTCTTCATGTGTATCTGGAAGCCACCAGTCACTTATCTTCTTCCAATATACAAATTATTTCTTGCAAAAAAAAAAACCACACACATCCCTTACTTGCCTCGAAACCTTGGGTTCCACAACTTTCTCCAGTGCTAAGGCCCTTATTTGACACATTTTGGTGGATGCTGTGTATCTAAACTGCACAAATTTCACTTGCCCATTCACAAAGCTTTTCTTCTACTTCAGGATAAGCCCTTTGACTACCACTGATTTGCATTATCAGTTCTTCCTTCTTTCCACAATATCTTAAACAACTTTTAATAATGTCATATTTTCTTCTAGCAGCACAATTTACAATTTCCTCTACTTCTCAAATTATTTTCAGCTTTTCACAAATTGTAAAAGATGAAAAACACATTTCTTTAGTATTCATGTTTAGCAGAACATGCATGCAGTACCTTACAAATATGAACGATCTCAGTGTGACGTTTCCTTTGTGTCACTCTGTACTTCCTTATTTTCCTTCGTGTCACCCTGTTCTTAACCTTAGGGTAAGGGCGCTCTGCACGCGTTTTGCTTGGAGGTTCATGGGTAGCGGAATGCATATTGGGTGGCGGGATGCGGGTGACTGTCCGCACTGCACTTCGTGGGCAGCTTGCTATGTGCAGTGCGTGCAAGTAGGAAGGGCATTTAATGAGACCATATTCAGCAAGAAACCTGGATGACAAGAAACCTTTCTTTAATTACCGGTTGTCTAGTGCTCGAAGAAGTGTAGAATGTGCTTTTGGAACAATTTGTACTAAATGGCGAATTTTGCTTAAATGTATTGAGACAGATGAACATAATGCAACTTCAATTGTGAAAGCTATATGTATTCTTCATAATTTTGTTCTGGAACATGAGGGACCTGACTCAAGTTACTTAAAAGTTACTAACAGTGTGGGATCTGTGCCATGGCAAAATGATTATTCTTTGCCGGAATATATTCTGCAACACCACAATACAATATAAATGTAACTAATTCGGAACGTATGGAAATTTTATGCAAACGAACTCGATAACATATATGCTATTTAATAAAATTTCAACTAAACATCCTTTCCTATTTCTTCAGCAACTTCTTCCCACTCTCTCCTCAACAGAGCAGTATGTTCATGTAAATCATGATTTGGATCCCACCGTGGCCTTCTACGGAACACAGCGCTGATCAAAAGTCTTTCATTGTCATAGTTACACTCAAGATAAGTTACACAAGGCTACACACTGCTGATTGTGATTGTATCCTGCTAGGTAGTGAACGATTTTAACCGACAGGTTCATTCTGCTAGCGGGGAGGGTAGCGGTTAGCTTCGAGGTAGGTGGGTCAGTGCGGCCGCCTACATAAGGTTTCTGTTGTTGGTTACAATCGCGTTCCCGCCAAGCGGCTTGCTACCCTCCAACCTCCAAGTGAAACGCGTGCAGTGCAGCCGTACCCTTACTCTTTTCCCGTCAGTGTGCCCTGGTCTCTTCCAGCTTTGCTGTACAGGCAACTCTCAGTTTACGAACGAGTTCCGTTCCAAGACGTTGTTCGTTATACGATGTTGTTCGTTATATGTATCTTGCATTCTTGAGCTTTTACGATACATATCATGTTCATAACTAGAACGTTCGTAAACTGAGAGTTGCCTGTATTATAAGGGAACTGGGGTGGATGAGTTTCTGCTCGGTGATTGGACATGTAACGTCTCCTCCATTTTCAGACCAAAACTACTTCAGGGGGTGGGCTCTCTCCTAATTTCGAAAGGGGCAGAGAACTGACACAGGTTTCTGGGGGGCTTTGCAATCCATCATCTCATCGCTGTGTTACTTGTTTGTATCTATATATATCCAGTATATAATTTTGTTAACAAATAATATCTATGATGTCATTTTGCTAATAAATAATAACAAAAAGAGGGTTGTGGGCCAGTGTGTTTCATCTGAGATTAATACTACAACTGTGTATGCCTTAGCACACTGATATGCAACATGAGAATCACACTTGAAATGAGTAGTGTTGCCAAACTCAATCATGAATAAGTTGTGCCCCATCTCCCCAACTTTTTTATTGTACGTTCTTCAGACAGAAGCAAGCAGAGCATCTTAGAAAATATGGTAATCTGTACTGGTAAATGAAGGAAATAATAAATCCAAATAAGTGTCCAATTAATTAACTTATTGATTAAATAATAAGCTTTTATACCAAATAGCTCACTCCATAGTCCAAGATGTTCCTACCACAGCTTTCTTACTCATCTAATCAATAAATTACTTGCTATTAAGAAACCTAACAGAGCATCTCTGTGTTCATAAAAAGTCTGCCTTTGGATCATATTTTGAGTCAATTCAATCATGTTCACATCACTGCAACTTATTTCTTTGAGATTCTTTTCAATATTATCCTCTCAAACTATACTCACATTTCCCAATGGTGAGTTCTTATCAATGTTTAAAGCCAAAACATTGTATTCATTTATTGTCTTCATGAATACTATGTTTTCTAATGTTCTACCTTAACAATACTCGGTGAACGTACTGTCACCTCATTATGTAATTTTCTCCATTCTCCCATTATTTTGTCTACTTTAAAAATAAAATAACTCCTTCATGAAAATTTAAGGATCTTCTGTTGTATAACTTGGTGGAACCTCTATTCTAACAGAACAAATTTTAGCTACTAGTTATACAACTTGTCACTATCTTACTGCATGGCATACCTCTATCTTTTCAAGACTGCCATCACTGGGACTTCGCTCCATAGAAGTGGTTGCCATGAGCCTGAAACGAGATCGGAGCCCCTCAAGTTCTGTCTTATAGCTGTGAGTCAGTTGATCAGAGAGATCTTTGAGTGCTGTCTGCTTGTTGGCCTCTGCTCTTTCCAGCTGCCCCTGCAAACCACTGCACTGTTCCCTCATCTCTGACAGCTTAAGCTCTAAATTCTGTACTGCTTCTTGCCGGACATGCACTTCCTCCTCCAACCGCTCCTCCATCCTTGCTTGCAAGGATGCCAATTCTTCTTCCTTCATTACATTGGTCTAGAAACACAAAATAAAATCTCTCACCAGTGAACCAGTACGACAAACTGAATGAAAAATAGAAGTATATTAAGAGTTCAAACATCATAAAATCACCCGAAGACCTGAGATTCATAAATGTTTCCATCTCAGATCAGAAAAACTGAAGGGCAGTTTCCTTGAACCAGTGTTCATAAGCCATGAGAAGAAGTGATTTAAATATCTGTTATGTATTATGTTTTAATATAATGGATTTCCTTGACTTTTTAAACATTTTAAAATTTCTGAAATTGGGAAGCACCTTACATTTGATGGTGTTTAATAATCGATATACCATCTTTCTCCCTAAAACCCTATTACTGAATCAAGGGCGCATATTACAATCAATTGCATCTTAGTTTTGGTATAATCTACTGTACTTTTCTGTAAGTTTTCATGACTGGAGTTCAATGTATAACTTTGACTTAAGAATTGATGTGACTCTCACCCAAAAGCTGCTACTATGCTACATGCGGCAAAAATAAACAGCAAAATTAGTAAGTTAAAAATCATTGTATATTTGACACTGAATGTAGTATAAATCCATGGTAATTAATTTATTGACAAAAACGTATCAGTCAAATCATTAGTTTTACAGAACACTTTTGAGTTTTTATCATCTAAAATTCAGACTTTGATTAAACTACTCACAGGTGTATAAAAAGGTAACTACATCTGTCTGTTAAATCTGTGTGCCTAAGTGTAAGCAGGCAACTCTGAAGAATGTATAATGAGGAACTGTAATTTATAAAGGTCACAAACTATTGGTAAGGTATAGAAATTAAGATATGTAATTATAGATTTGACACATAGCTTATATTGGACAAAAAAAATGCATACAGAATTTTAGCAGAAAAGCATTTGCAAGAGTGGCACTTGGAATAATGAGGTGAAGGAAGAATAACATCAAACTGGATTTAAGAGAAACTGTGATGCTTGAAGATGAACAGAACTGGCTCAGGATTATGCCCAATGGCAGGCTTTGGTAACAGTAGCATCAAACCTTCTGGCTGTAATACCAGAGAGATAATTACTTAACAAAGATATTAATTACAAAATGTTTACATATCAAACCTGCTTCAGTATTCGAATCTCCTCATCATTTGTCTCAACTGCAGTTCTGACATCTTTCCTGAGAGAATCCATCTCCAGCTCATGGTCTACAGTGAGGCGCTGTAATTGTTCCTGCCGAAGCACTTTCTCAGATGCCACGGCAGCTTCATATTGCTGTCCCAGTGCTGCCAAGAGATGAACCTGCAGTCTGCCAAATTCAACCTGCTCCTGCTGGACATGAGCCCGCAAGCCAGCCAAATCAGCCCGCAGTCTACTGACCATGTCACATGTGACATATGCACAGGCACTGAGCTGCTCACGCAACCGTTCCACTTCGCTGCGGGTGTTGCCCAAATTCTCCTGAAAACCACCCACACCAATATTTGATAACTGAGATCTCAGGTTCTATTGGCAGTAAGTATGAAGATGACTGCTGAGATGTTGCACCATGGAGTCCCATAGAAATTTACTGACATTTCAGAGATGCTTACTGGCTCTATCGTTAGGGCAAAATGCCCTGGTGATTGAGGCAACAAGCTCCCCTGAAATGTCAGTCAATTTCTGCGAGACTACATAGCACAACATCCAAGAATATGCATTGCTGCTCCTAAGGTGCACTAACCAGTAAAGAAAATCTTCACAGTTCATAAAATATATATATATAAAAAAACATTTTCACTGCACTGGCTGATTACGATATGGAATGTTTGGCTTTGACAGTTCTATTACCAAAAAAGTAAGAGTGAGAGGAACAGAAGAAAATCATGTAAAACATAATAAGTATCTCTTAAATATGGCATGTCATAAAAGACAAATAATTTTTTACACCCTGAAATAAATCTGTGAAATAGGCATAATTAATTTCTTTGTAGTCTGTGTGGGCAAAACACTTCCATTATTACATAAAAAATTTCTTTCACTCCATTCCTTACAAAGACAATTCCAATTAATGGTACAGAGACTGTGCCTTTTTTTATCATTATGAGGAACAAGATTTTGTTCATAAATAATGATGATCACAAATCCATAATTCAAGCTGTCTTAAAGCCTCTCCTATTTTAATGCCAACCTTACCATGATCTGTGCACTCTACAACAATGAGGCTCTGGTGATAAAGATATGATAGTATAAACATAACTCTGGTATGCAAGAAATACCACTATCAAAATTTACTTATATTAACTTATTTTTAAGACTGAGTTCCATTTATTTAATTTGTTAAGTCTCAAATAACAAATGCAACAAAGTCAACTTTAAACCAACTAATCACATAGTAATTTCTTCTCAGTATTTTGCTTAGAGCTGTTAAAATGCAAATACTGATAGTACTTGCACAAAAAAATTCATTATCAGCTATAAAACTAGTAAAGAAATATGCAAATGTGTGTAGTCCACTTACAACCAATTTCCCAACACAGTAACTTCACAACAAAAATACATCACATCTGACCACAAATATTCTCCATGATCTGCTACAGAAACTGTAAAATCAATTAAAAACTGTGTTAAAAATGGTCTTCATCTAATACAGAAAACATGAAAAACATTACAATGGGTCATCAGGTGGATAAGAGGTGGGGTTGGGAAGAACTGGGGACAGTGACTGATCAAGGCCCAAAGCTAGCAAACAGAAACTATGAATCACTATGCACAGCCAGAACCAAATCCCATTTAGAGACAAAGAAACACTGAGAAAATAATAAGATTTCAAAGCAGAAATACAATGAAGACAGAAGACATTTCCTTTTCATGTTAACTTTAGGCTGGAATACTTACCGCTCTATGTGGGTCAATTTATACGACCTGTATTCAATAAACTATATCATAAAGGTGAATAAGAATGGACTCGCCTCAACACCTACAACCAACATAACCACTTGATGGATGCACAAACATGAACCCCAGCCACTCAGATTAGGATTTACCATTGATAAAATTTACATTTAGAGGACATACAGTTACAAGTCACTATCAGTTCTAGCCTTATTACTCATGGTATGCAAATACCATATATATGTACATTAACAAGATAACAATCTAGAAAAAGGTGCATTAAAAGCACTTTAACCCCCCTGATTAATATTCATCTACATTACATGAACCTGAAACAGAGTTCAATAAAAATGCACATATGTGAATGTTCTACAACTCTTCCTGCTGGGCTTTTAAATTCAGTCCTCACTTTAAATGCGAGGGTTTAAATCTCAGGGATGGAATTTTCAACTGTCTAAAGAAAATATATATTGCAAATTTCAGGAACTTTACATTGCCTTTAGTAGAGTCTGAGCAAAATTCATAATGCAAACTCCACAAAGAGCACAAAAAAATCTTGTTTCCCCTTTTGATGTTCTTTTCCAGACACACACTGCAACATCTTGTCAGGACCGCATCACATTTGGTGATGAAAAATTTAATGAGTCCGTGGTTTCTCATTTTTCTGCCAAGTCAACATTCACCTCTGCTGGCAGAAAACAAGTTTGTGCTGTTTCATTTTCACACCTAGTCAACATTCTAAGACATCAGCGGGGGAAAAAATGCACCACAATCAGGTGGTTTAATGTTTCATTGACATCAGAAATGTTTTCTTTGGCCTCCTGTTAAGTATGTTATGAAAGAGACTACCGCAGAAGATAAAAAAGAACACTTTCTTCAGTTAATCATTAATCATATCACTACATAATAAGAAGGATACCGATCATCAGAGCATATATATATATATATATATATATATGCATTAAAATTAATTAATGAAGCTCCTTGTTGGTAGCACTAGAAATCTTGAAAGAAATTGGAATCCAGAGCTTCAGCACAAACTGAGGCTTCTTACAGAAGTTTTTAAATAAAATTGTGTTAGACCTTACAAAGATAGAAATCAATGGAGTGAAATAGATGCAGCTAGGTCAGGATAGAGTCTGGTGACAGAATTTTGTGAACACAGTGAAGAAACATAAAGAAAGTGAACTGTTCTTTGAAAATCTGAGTATACAACTGACTTTTCACATTTCCTGCACCATAGAGTGAGTGAATGTTAGACAGCAAAACATATAGCACAATGGCCTCCTGATGCAGACAAAGAAAAACCACTAGTATAAGTCTGGGTTACTGATGAGGAAGAAATCAAAGATTTAGGCTTCTGACGATGGTGTGACAATGTATACATTTTTTTTTAACTTTATCAGCCATTATGCATGCTTGTGTATACTTCTAGAGTGGGACTAGTTACATTAACAAAATTTATCAGTTTTTAGTTTCTAGTATTAGTTTCATTCAATGAATAAGCTTTTCTTAAAAACCTGAGGCTTGTATTTTATTTGATGGGGGCTTGTGTTATTCAGACACATATCAAGTGTTCTCAACGCAAAGCCTATGTGCCATATGAGGCCTACCATGCAATTGTATGGGTCATGTACATTTTTTACAATACTGTCTCTCTCTGTATAATGAAAAATACTTATATATCAGAAAACATGCTTTGTTAATGCTATCAATATTTGGCAATACCTTTTACCATGAGAAACTCTAGACTCAGAGTTTAAAGAAGAACATCAAATAAAGAACTAGGATGTGTCTTACTGTTGAAAATTTGGAGGGATGGATATGAATCATGACAGATATTAAGCCTAATATTGAAAGAGCAGCATAAAAATCTCACTAATTTAAAAAAAAAATACTGAGTAATATGCAAGTAGCATTTTTAATAAAGTTCTAAAAAGTCAGTAAGAAAGAATGAATGTGGCCGTAGGTATGGAAATGGTTGAGGACTCCTACAGTACTTGGTGAGATTTCAGATTCTCACAGTGGCAAGTATGATGACTTATCTTCTGAGATATTGCGTCCCGTAGTCTTACAGAAACTGATGGACATTTCAGAGGTGCTCACTACATCCATCATGAGGGCAGTAATGATGGCAGACAGTGAGCACCTTTGAAATGTCAGTCAGTTTCTATTAAACTACACAGTTCAACATCCCAGACAGCAGTGTCATCTTCTTCAACAGTACATGATCTGCTTTAAAAGTATCACGACTGGGATCTTTTTCCTTCTACTTCGTGGCCAAAAGCTTTCCTTGAGTAATAAGGCTTTCCACAACCATTCTCCTTCAATTGTCACATATCTCCTGTAACTAAGTCTAGAATCTGACAGCTATTGTTAAAGTCTGTACCAGTCTAAAGTTAGCCTGAAAACATCAATGTGTGCCTAATCACAATGTTCAAAATCACCAAAAGTAGTTCAGCAAGTTGCTAAAAGAAAAGACTGCTGGCTTGGTTGCAAGTGAGCGATCAGGGCCTGGTGTTCTGTACCTGAAGAAGAGTAACAAGAGTGTTCATGTCTTCCAGCTGGCGGGTCAGTTCTGGCGCTGCCTGATGGTGGGATCTTGCACTGTTACTCTCCGTGTAGCTTGACGGCATTGACTCATCAATGTAAAAGTCAGCAGTGGTAAATTCAGAATGGGACTGCAGCAGCAGAGATGGCTGTTGGTGAGGAAGCAGCGGGGACGAGGAAGGGGGAGAGGAAGAGTCAGCCCTGCTGCCACAGACACCAACCTCCAGCGTGGTGAGAACACATGGTGCCCTGTCCTGCTCCTGCACCTGCTCCGTCACCTGGCCTGAGATGCATACGCTGCTTGTCGATGGTTTGGAGTCAAAAACCAACTCTACTGGGCTCTGACCCACCTTCTCAAACTCCTCTGTGTCAGTTTCAGATTCAAAGCCCCTGCAACAGAAAAAAGTGAAATGAAAGAGAAGTTCTATTCCCAGTGACAGTCCTCGGAAAGTTCTGGTCTATTTAGATAAGCAAATAAACTCTGCTGACCATATGGAAAGAGCCTAAAGTGAATGCTACAATAAAATGCACTTTGGTAGAGAGTGGAGATCCCGTACACTATAAAACACTCTCCGATACAGAGAAATTGTTCTCCTAGCTACAATATAGAGCTCTGAAAAGTGAAGTAAGTTTTGTTTGAAGATGGCTGTCTTTTGGGATGCACAGGGCGGGTCACAGGTGGCGGATAGTGAATGACCCTCAGATATGAGGGTTAGCTGTGAATAAGGGGAGACCCAAATAAGCAGTCCCGGACCAAGGCAGCAAGACTGGAGAGCGTGGGAGCGTAGCTGGTGGCAGGGATACGCCCATAAAATACCACATGAGCTCAGTGAAGGTCCTGTGACCTGGCGAGTAAGCACCGCCAGTAAGTAACTGCTGCCCCCACTGCCTTGTGGGTAGGGGAGGGATCCCCAAAGGCTAAGGGAAGGAAAACCCTGACAGAAAATGAAGGGGTAGAAGGGGCTCCATAGGTGTAGAGAAACCAATCCTTCTAAGGGAAAGAACCCTGAAAAAACTTCCGGTCCTCCAGAAAGATGGGGGTTGGACATTGGGCTAACAACCCAATTCTGGAAAAAGCTGACATTCAGACACTGTTGAGATGAGGCCTCGGAAACATGACCCCCTTTGGTAGACGACATGGAAAACGGAAAAAGGACATGATTTTGGCTACATGGAACATCAGAAGCTTACGAAAACCGGGCACTTTGGCAAGGCTCAAGGAAGAACTAGGTAAATATAAAGTTGATATTGCTGCAGTGCAAGAGATGAGGTGGAAACGAAGTGGCATCATGGACTCTGGCGAGTATACAGTTTGCTACAGTGGGCAGGAAACAAGAGCAGAGTTTGGAACTGGTTTCTTGGTACACAGAAGTATTAAAAACAGAATCATTGACTTCATACCAGTAAATGAGAGAATGTGTACATTAAGAATCAGAGGAAGATTTTTGAACTCAACCTTAATCTGCGTTCATGCTCCCACAGAAGACAAGCAGGAAGAGCAAAAGAATTATTTCTATGTAAAACTAAATAACATCCATATGAAGGCCCCAAAAAGTGACATAAAATTAGTTATCGGTGACTTCAACGCTCAAG